GCTAAACCGCGAGGCTCCCAGCAGCCGCGGAACAGTGCTGAGATCTTCAGATCCGTCCTCGGAACGCTGCGCGGCGCGATGATGTCTGCAGGAGCGCAGACGGGGGCTACGACCTCAAGACCACCGCACGACAAACATAGCTGGTGCCCAGGGTTCAATTCCTGGGGCGCTGTCTGTGTGGAGTCTGCATGTTCCCCCTCTGCTTGAGTGGGTTTTCCTCCGGGTGCCCTGGTTTCCTCCTGACAGGCTGGTGGGTTAACTGGCTTCTGGGAAAACTGGCCCTGCTGTGAGTGTGGGTGTGTTGTTGGACTGGTGTCCCATCTAGGGTGTACCCCGCCTTGAGCCTGTTGCTTGCTGGGATAGGCCCTGACTCCCCCCTGCGACCCTGCATTAGATAAAGCTGTTAAGAGGATGGATATTCTTTTTATTTATACCATGCATTCCCAAAACCTTCCCAAAAAGTCTGTTTGTTCTGAAAAATTTAAGTTTGAAAACATTGGAAAAACCTTTCATGCATATCGCCCCTGACGCTGCTAATTAGCAAAAGAGTGATTTTTAACAGGGATCATCAGCCCCCCAAGAAAACAACAGAAATAATGTGAAAAAATATTGGAATAATTATTTAATAGAAGAGTGTTATTAAGTTGTCACGAGGCCTAATGATGACATTCTTAAAGTCTTAATGCTCAGTTTGGGCATTGTAGTGCTTTCAAGGCAATTTGGAACCGAATGTCCTGTCTCTAAGTGTTCTCGGACTGCAGGGATCACAAGGGACCTCCGGTGCACTCTCCGAGCGCTGAATAAAGAAGAACATCACGCACACAAGTATTTGTGGATTGGAAACCTGGGAGGGCTTGCAACATTCCGGTCTTCCTTTCCACAAGTACCCCAGGAATCGCTGGGCCCTCAGGTAAGGACTGGGGACAGAGAGCGGCGCACCGGTGACCTGCCCCATGGGCACGCCAGTTCCCCAGCCAGCACCGCGTGCCGCTCAGCGGCTCCCTCGCGTCGCGGCCATGCGTGGGAGTGGGGATTCGAGCAGCAAAACGCTTTCTGCTGCACCGTTGTCACACACCCCGGCGTCACTACAATTCCCCCGCCGCGGGAGAAAGTCTGAGACACCAGACGACTGTTGCTGTATGCCTGCTTTAACACACTTAGAGCACTCTGGGTAAGCATGCCCAAGACAGACGTTCTGTCTTTTATCTGCTCCTTAATGGCACCACTAAATAAAAATAAACCAGAGAGAACTGGGGTGATAGTGGCAGCTGCACAGGAGAAAACATGAGAAAAAA